AGGTTTATAGAAACCCGAAGATTTCATCTAATATGTATTTCATAAAACTTATAAATTAAATTTATATGATTTACAAATAGTTACATTGATATAAACGAATTATTTTAATATTTTTTATGGGTGATATATAATATCATTATTATAGATGTATCATCCTCTATCACATGTTTTAGGTGGAGAGAATGGACATAGAGGAAGAGGAAATCCAGAGATCTCTGAAGGGACAGAATTCTTCTTGCTCAGAGGTTGGTAATACATATTGATAGAATCTGGTTACCATCAATCGGTAACACTTTCCGGCTGTATTCTGGATGTACAGCAGTTGGTAACATGTATGTACCAATTTTGAAAACCTCTCGTTAGTTTCCTTCATAGCCGAGTAAGTAAGTATATACTTACTTACATATGCCGCAGTTCACCAGAGTCCATAACTGCGACGCGCAGGTTGGAAGATGGTGGGGGAACGCAGCGAGCTCTCTGCTAATCGCTTTCCACTTCGTTTGGGAGTATCGCCAATCAGGGCGAAGATGCGCACTGGAGAAGCGCGAAGAACGAAAACTGGTCTTTTCGCAGTTATGGACTCTGGTGAACTGCGGTATACGTATGTTCATACAGTATCGAGCATGGTAGGCTTTCCAAAGCTGGTATCCTTTTCAAAATTCAGCTAAATAGCAAAAGAGACAGGCGCAAAATGGACCAACGTTCCTTACATGATTAACGAAAGCCCGACAGTCTACTATTGCCTGTCAGAAACGAAAAAATCGGCGAAAATCAACATTCGCATCGACCAACGGAAGTTCACGGAAAGCATTCTCTAGGAGTCCTCGATCGCAAAGGTGGAGGTCCACATCCGTGATACAACCTAACTTTAGCGGAAACTTTCAGTATCGATCGGACGGCAGCTGATACTCTCGACGACGACGACGACGACGCAAGCTCGACTCGTGACAAGGATCCATCGAGGTAGAGGGGTAATCAGTTTATCCTCCCTCTCGTTGCTGTTTGGTTCCTCCTCTCTTTCCTTTTGTTGCGGTCTTTCCCTCTTTCTCTCGCATCCTCGCGAGGAAGAGGACGAAAAGCAGAAAAGATGAGCGATCAAGAGGATCTCGACTACTACATCATGTTCCCGTCGTCTCCGTCGTTCCCGAAAACTCCCACGGTGACCACTGGAAGCCAGGATCAGGGAGAGGAATACGTGTTCGTGTACCAAGAGGAGCGGCCAGTTGTTGTGCTGCTAGGATGGGCCGGCTGCAAGGACAGATACTTGGCCAAGTACAGCGCAATGTACGAGGAGAAAGGGTATTGAAATTTATTAAGTGATTATTTGTTAATATCGCTGAAATGACGAGATTACAGCTAATCGTTACCGTTAAACATTTGTGCTAAAAGGCTTTGAGGATTGCGATAAAGGGATGAACGTTCACCAAGTGTTGTTATTACCGTATGGTAATGTCGAGAAAAATACGTCCAATTGGCATGGAAAGGGCATGGAAGATAGCAATCCGAACACCGTGTTGTAGAGTAAATTTCTTTAATCCATTCGCATGTTTCTAGCGATCTACGCATTCAAATATCTATATTTGTCTACCGATATTCAAGTCTTTGTGTATCAATGACGGTAATTAAGCATTTAACAGAGTTCGATTATGATATAAATACTGTAATTTAAAAAAAATTAAGTTCAAAGAAAAAATTCGCGTTATCTAATAAGTGTATCTTGAAAGTAAGCTACTTCTACTTCATTCATCTTTTAAGCTGTATCACGCTACGGTACACGGCGCCGGTAGAATGTCTGTTCTGGCGAAGGGACAAGATGCCTTACATCGGCAAACGATTGATCCAGGTGATCACAGATAAAAGTTTAGATCAGTATCCGATATTCTTTCACGTCTTCAGCAACGGCGGCGCGTTTCTCTACCAGCACGTAAGCCTTGCGATGCAACAAGCTAACACGCCGTTGAAGGTAAAGGAAATATACATATCTTTAGCTCTTAAAACAATTCTATAACTGATGTTTCACGGGTCTATTGAAATTAAAGGTGAAAGGTGTGATATTCGACAGTGCACCAGGTGAAAGAAGATTGACTGCTCTCTTCAAAGCAATCAGCGCGATTATCGGAGGACATCCAGTTTTAAATATACCCATGTCATTCTTCATTACGATCTTCCTTTCTGTACTTTGGTTCTTCGAGGTATGACTGATCATACTCCATTCTTTTTTACTCTATCTCTTTTACATTGATTAACAATGTCGTTCAGTAACGATCTGCAAAACTGCGTAACAAGTTACTTATTTAGGTGATCGCGCACGCTTTTGGACTCGGTTATCCAGTGCAAACGAATCCGATCGCTCTTGCAGAGGAAGCCTATTCTTGGCCCCAATTGTTTCTTTACTCAAACACCGACACTTTAATACCAGCATCGGTACGTGTCCATCGAGAAACATTTTCATTTGTAAATTCCTGAGATAGGAACGAATGGACTTATTGTAATCCTGTTTCAAGGATGTTGAAAAGTTCGCCAGCCGACGCGCAGAACGTGGCGTTCGAGTGCAATTGGTGCTGTTCACAAATTCTCCGCACGTTAAGCATTATGCTACTTATCCGGACGTCTACGTGAACACCGTCTGTAGTTTCATGCATGAATGTTTGGGCTCGCCGAACTTAGGAAACCTGGACTCGCCTCAAGATCACGGCGAAGATAGCTCTCAAAGTTACGATGCTCTGCCGGGTCTCACCAAGAGAGTTGTACTACCTCACAAGGCCGCTCCGCAAGTAAATTAGAGAAAAATCGCGTATTGCGCGATGTTGCATGTACATACGCCCAGGTGCGATTTAGGTTTCTCGCGATTAAGAGGAAGGGTAGGGAAGAAGACTGAAAAAACCTAAGGAAAGCCTAACACAGAACTTCCTGTCTTCGCAAGTAAACAATACGGATAAATAAGGCAAATAGTAGGACATTCCTTCTTCTACACTTTCCCTTAATTAAAAGAATCCTTAATTGCACGAGATTGATGACTATATGCAAAAAGGTGGACAAACTGGAAGACCGAGAAGATCGAAGTATCATTTGCTTTTGGACGGCGTTGGATCTTGATTATTCATATTACTTTGTGATCTAATGAATCATTAAGTAATACCGATTGGCACAAACTGTATTTTTGTAGAATTGTTCAAGATTTACAATGAGCTCGACTTCTCTACTCTCCTTTTGTCCTCTTATATTTGTTTCGTATTTCCTTCGTATCTTCCAGTTTCTTCCCTTACCGTGTGTCCCTGAACGTCGATGGTGTCTGAACTTTGCAAATCGACAAGATTGCGTTTCTTTTAGAAGAAAATAAACACACAATACATTCGGTCTGTCGTTCAATCGTGTACGATTATTAGGTGTACAAATTGATTCAGTGTCTTTTCTTTGTTAATTAAAGATTTATTTTTAAAAAGGTAACTTCAACTATTCGAATAATTATCGTTGTTATCAAAGGCTTGCGCTACAAAATAGTGTAATGCTAAAGGCATCGAGTTACAATTTGTACATCTAATGTTTTGAATGTTTGATGAATGGAATAACGTTGCGTAACACTCCCGATTTCCTCGTTCGAAATCCCGTAATCTCGTGTAGTGAGTTATCAAAGACTCTAGATGCACTTGACAGCAAACTAAAAAGAAGAACTTAAAATTAGAAACCTAGACGCTTGCTGATACGATTAAAGTGCGCACGAGAGATATACGTCATTAATTGAAATTTCAAGGAATAATTAATTTCGCGATGTTTCAATTGGGACGTAATAACAAGTTCGCACAAAAGGATCAAGCTGGTCTTGATTTAGCTTTTGATTTAATTGCAGTGTAATTAAGTATCGATGAAACGGAGGAATTTTCTTGTATCCTACACTATCAAATAATGTTACGTCTGTGCATATACACAATGCGTGTAAACACACAAATATATAAATATATATATATTTTGATCTGTCGATTAGTTATGAATAAAGACTGATAAATGTACGGAATTTGTCGTTCTCTTACATATAAACGCTTGTTTAAAATTAACAAGTGATGCAGCATTAAAAATAAATTTCCATTAATGATATATAATGAAATTTAAATATTCATCTTTTTATATAATTTATTTTAAGTAAAAAAGTTAACACAAGCATCAGTTGTAAAACTATAAAAATTTCTTTATTTATAATACTTTAAGTTTCTTATCTTATAATAGAATTACTAAACCATATGTACAATTCAAAATATGTATATCATTAATCTGATGCATAATTATCAGTTATAGAAATTTCTTGTAAATTTTCATAACAACCAATCTTTTTTCTAATTAAATCCCCCCATAAAACATTAGTATTACAAGTAGGACAGGTGCCTTCAATTGGTAAAATCATATTATCTTTACAAAATACTTTAGCCAGACAAATTAAATGAGCTTCTAAAAGACAGTTAGGTTTTACACAAGTAACTAATTCTTTTTTTTCTAAAAACAAACCACATATAGAACAAACTGTAGATGATTTCTTTAATGTTTGTGTTCCATTTAATTCCTCATCATTAACCTTCTTGATTTTTTGAGAAATAACTTTACCACAACATATAGGCATATGCATTGGGGCTGAAATACAGTAAGAGTATTCTTGAAAAAATTCATAGTCTAACCAACGTATTGTCAAGGGTAAACGACACCAAGGTCCAACTTTTAACATTTCTGATAGAACTATTAAATGATATTCAAATACTCTCTGGCGTGACTTTTTCTTAGGGATGTGTTTAAGACGTCTACTAACATAAGGATGTTGCCAAGCCCATTCAAACTAAAAATAAAAATGAATTCATTTTCAAACATAACTATACTTGATATCACGAGAGCCCATAACTAAAAGACGCGCAGGTTGGAAGATGGTGGGGGAACACAGCGAGTTCTCCGCCAATCGCTTTCCACTTCGTCTGGAAGTATCGCCAATCAGAGCGACAATGCGCAGAAAAGAACGAAAACTGGTCTTTTCGCAGTTATGGACTCTCGTGACATCAGGTATACATTATCTTATTTTTGTTACTTCAGATAAACATACTCTAAGTGCAGATGTACTATTTGGAAATCCATGAATAATTAATACCATGTTCCTAAAAGAAAAAAAATATTTCATCAATCACAAAAACCAAAGTTTTCTAATTAAAAACTGTATAATTAACTATTAATTTTATACTTACCATGGTCCCCTGTTACTTGTTTTCCATGCTCCTTTATGCTCCTTTCCAGCATTATGTTGTTTGAGTCTACGTCGAGGATCAACAGTATATCCTATATAAGTTCTTCCTTTATATTTTGGATTCGTACAATATAATAAATATACTCCATAAAAATGTTCTATAACCTCTGCATCTTCCATTTTAAAATTCACAGCATTTGATACACGGCATCAGAAACGAAATAGGTTAAATGTAACATAATGAAATTATGATCTTTGAATTCCAAGATATTATGAAAGTTTATTTAATTAACTGTTATTTCATAACATAAATACAATTAGAAAGGAACAAAGAACGCCCGATATAGTGCTGCATCATGCGGACAACTCTTTTAAAATAATTTTTAACAAAGAATACAACTGACTTCGAAATGCGCTAAAAAGTGTAAAATAACTTATACTTCATTTCTACAACAAAATGCACTAAAAAATATGAAATAATTTCTATTTCCTAGTGAAATTGAGTAACCTCCTCCTTTTTCGAAGTCTGTTAAAAAATTAAAATAATCGGCATCTGTTGAATTAAATAGTTTTCGTTTATTTTTTTCATAGTTAAACTTTTTATTTACCATTTAAAATAGAGTATCAAGGAATCTCTATGTTCTTACAGATTAGATTAGTTTGTTGTACATAAAATTCAGAATAGATTCTACATTGTCAATAAAACATTTGAACCTAACGAATTATATAATACCAGAAATTTCTTGTTTGGTCATAGACAATACGTTTTGTACGCATTGTGGCAGTATGATATCATGTACACACTACTTACACGGGATACAAATACATAGATGTAAGAGCACAAACTTTGTAGAAATGTTTCTTTTTCTTTTGCACAATATAAAAGTTGTATATATAAAGATTTATGGAAGAGCATTTGAAATATTGCATTCACACTTTTTGCATGTTTGTTAATGCTCAACCAAGAATATTATACGAAAACGTAAAGCTTATACATCTAGTGCAATATATGCTCATTAATTTCTCCCCAAAATAATTGAACAGATATTCATCAGTTCCAAATGAATATGCTCTTTATAATACTTAGAAGTTGTTACAAAAATACTGATAATAGCAAATATAATAGTAAAAAGTAGCAGCAGTCATGATATTATTTAGGAAAAGAAATTAAATTATATCACAATATTGGAGTACAAGTAATATTAGGAAAATGTGAACTGAATCCTGTATTTCAGAGATAAGAATTTTGTTACTAAAAAATCTATCATATAGTAATTTAAATTGTATGTTGCAATTGAAACATTCATTTAAATATCATTTATAGCACAATAATGATTTACTTTCAAACCTTATCTATAACAGTTGCACAGTATACACTCACTTAATGTTTTCTTTTAGTGTAACATTCTTCATAATAGCTTTTAATGATATTTTTCGTACATTAAATAGGCTATATTTTTGGTACAGCAACGATCTAACATCTAACAATGAAGGACAGTTTACATATAACGTTGCTAAATATAAACTCATTTTTTTATAGCCAAATTGTTCACATACTTATATAAATTCAGTATTATCTGTCTTAGGCATTAGCAAAACATGTTTCTTGCTTTATATATATATATTTACTTTTATATATATAGGAAAGTTTATCTGTTCTTTGTAACATAATGTTAAGTCCCTTAGAGTATTTTTGTTCTAATCAAGGAAGGAAATATTCCAAATACATTTGTTAGTACATACAATTACACGTATAAATACATATGCATACAGTTTTGAGTAGATCAACAAGTGTAACTTAATATGCACTTTAGTCTTGCACAAAAAGATATAAAAGAGAAATGAAGATAAAGACGAAAGGAGCTTTTTGTATTCGTAAATTACATTCAATTTTACTTCAGTTAAAAAATGCATTATCAGTCTTCATATTTTCAATCATAACTAGCTAAAGTTTCGGCATATAAAAGCACAGAAATATGTACGTATTATTGAGAACATGTTCCATGAAAAATTTAATCATATCTTTTGAAAAAGAGCAACAGCAATACTGTATTTTTTAAGCATCTTTCTATTTTTTTACAAGTTATAAACAAGCTGATAGCAACACACAAATTATTTGCCTTGCACATTGAGTTTTGGATTCTTATTACTTATATAATAATCATTCTATTATAATACTACCACTGAATTCTTTGTATCGTTATGTTTCGTTCTTACCATTATATTGTTTGGACTGCCATAAATAATGTACTTTGTTGTTTTTTTTGTGGCAGTTAGTAACATGTAAAATTCGTTGACGGAATGCACAAAATCACAATAGACAGAACATAAATGCAATATAAAAATCTACATATATGTGAAAGATTGCTTTAAAATCGTCATACACCTCAATCACATATCTGTGTTGTCCATATATACCAGTCTTCAATTCTTTAGTTTCAATATAGATTTAAATAAATATTAATAAATATAAATAATTAGAAATATTGGAATCTAAAGGAGCATTATTGATAACTACCCTTACATAGTATTTAAATTTGTTAATGTAATAACTGTAAACATGATTTTAAAATAATTTAGAAAAAATGTACTTAATAAAAATAAAGAATATATATATGTACAAAAATTCCGTGTAAATTAAGTAGAAATACTGAAATAATGTATTCACTTTGTGTGATTTTCTTTTGAACATAATTACTTGCCAATATGCGTCAATATTAAAACATCTCTCGTAAATATTTCATTTAATAAGGCTACATAACAAATATAACAAAGGCAGTTATGTATAACATTTAAATATAACTTACTACTTACCTTTATTTCTATATAAATATCACTTACTTTATAATTGTATGGATAATATAGTTCTCCATTCGTAATTTTCATCAGATTCAAACGTGAATACGTAATGGTACACTGTCCGACTTATTCTCAGCTTCCAAATTGTGCTTTATAGCATCAAGGGTATTATAAATCGTTCTGAATGTAGGCCTGTCTGATGGTCTTCTGTTCCAACAGAGTTTCATTAGGTCGTATATCGCTTGTGGAGTGTTTTCAGGGCACTGTAGTACATTGCCTTCTTTAATGTATTGTACAACTTCCTCGTGTGTCATTCCGTAATAAGGCTGAAGTGCAAAACTAAATATCTCCCACAAGCATACCGCGAAAGCCCATACATCGGACTCGACGGTGTATTTATTGTATAATATGCTTTCTAGAGGCATCCATCTAACTGGAATAGCATCTTGTTCGTCGCCCTTGTAATAATCTTGCAGATAAATTTTTTGTGACAATCCAAAATCTGCTATTTTCACGATCATTTGGTCATTGATCAGACAATTTCTTGTCGCAAGATCTCGATGAACGAATTTTCGATCTGACAAGTATACCATTCCTGATGCAACTTGTAGCGCGATATTGATCAAGTCCATGTGTGACAAACGAGAGTCTGTAAAGTGTTCGTCTCTTTCCAGACTTCGAATGATATAGTTTCCCGGAGAACAAGATCGTAGAAACTCGTTTAAATCACCGCGACCCATATACTCGAAGAGGAGACACATCGGTCGCCCCAAAGCGCATACACCTAATAATTTGACAATGTTTGGATGATCGAATTCGGCGAGAAGGCATGCTTCTCGTTCAAAGTCCTTGAGCAAATCTTCTGATGCTTCCTCCTTTAACATTTTTACTGCAACATTTGTGAACTCTTCACCCGGAATAAGACCAGGCGCTTTTGCTTGAAATACTCTGCCAAAAGCACCTTGTCCTAAATCTCGAACGTAAATAATGTTATTTCGCGGGAATTCGAGCTTTTCTAATTTAGGATTTAGTTGTGCACTCGTCTTGTGGTATGCATCATTACTTGGCAATTTGTCTAAATCGATACTGACATACTGGAAGTTACATATAATACATCTTACTACCATTCTAATCACTAGGAGTTAATAAGAAATGTACATATGATACACGCAATCATTAAGACTAGACTCGGTATTATTTTTTCTAGGTCTTATATGTTCAAATTACGAAATATAACGTAACATTTGTATGGATCTCTTATTTTTAACATACCTGATTTTCTGTTGGGTTGTATCCTTGATGTCTCTTATGAAGTCTGTGACTCAAAATAATCGATAATAAAGTTCCAGTTATTATTACAAATCCTAATGAAGATACTATCAATATAAACATTGGAGTAAATAATGTATTCATTGCTAAATCCTTTGAATCTACTTCAAGTACTTTACTTGTTACATTATCTGTATTGAAAATAAAAAACATACAGTGAGTTATAATGTTATTTACAGGAAATATTAAATAAAATACCGAATATATACCGCATATAGGAATATCACAATGTTCCCATCGTTTTACAGGATCCATGGTGAAACACCATGGTGTTGGTTCATCTCCACCTGCATTTCTACAATAATTTTCTCCATAACGAATTTGAGGGAAGACATCTGGTGGCCTGTCATGACTGTGCGGTACTTGTGCATTCCATGACTGACAATCCAAGCCAAATTTTGTTTTATTTACTTTACCCATATAAAATCTACCATTGCCTTTAATACAGTCATCTGGAAACAACAAATAATTAAGACCTTGGTGCTATCTACATTTAATTATCCTAAAAAAAAATGTTTAATTTGCTTTACATGTAACAAGAGTTTCATTCATATCAGTTAAATTTATATGAGAACATGTCATTTTTCCTTTAACTACTTTTGGCAGTGATTCACATTCTGGTAATGTAAAATGTCCCCTTGATCTGATGTAAATATCTCTTTGCTTGTTGTCTTCTATCATTGCCCAATCATTAAAACAGAACTGATGACGTACAGCCATACAATCTTCATAACATAATGGTAGGCCAACTGAGTTAGGACATTGTGGAAAAGCATACATACATAGCATTTTCTATAATAATTGAAACATTGATATTATATTTCTTTGTAACACCAAATTACATGACTCTTTGCTGTTTTAAAGTAAATTACCTCTGCAGCTGAACGACATGGCTCAACAAGCCTCTGTATCAGTTCCTCCCACAAATTGGTTGTAATACGTTCATTCAGCCAACCACCAGGGTTATCATTAGAATCATTAAACCATACTTTTCCAATTCCAGTTAAATATTTCTTGCAAATCTGTCCATTATATTGTGCACAATAACCTTGTGATTCAGGTTCTAAAAACATAAAAAATGTGAATTAATGATACTTCCTTCTAAACTCAGCATATTCTTTATGCTATACTTTTTCAAATACATACTGGTTTGTGCAGAACTGAAATGCAAAATAATTGCTACTAGGGAAACAATCCAGAACACCATTATTTACATATAATAGTTGAAAGAACGTCAAGAAAATATATCACATGTTTAAAACAAAATTCATCACGATGAAAAATTCGTTGACACCAGTGTTTATTTAATTAATACTAAATCGTATCAAATTCAGGGTACAAATCAAACATTTCTTAATACACAGTGGATTAGGATACTTCATTCTAGGCGCTAATTTAACTTTCACGCTTTTATTGGTGTACTCAGTAACCACTGAATGAATATTGCAATTATCGATTGTAATTTTTTAAACCGTTTTCAATGGGGGCAATACAATAATTCAACAAAAATAGAGTTAGCGTACTAAGCTATAGTATCGAGCACATAATTCGTTGTATAAAAAGATGAACAAACTATTCGCAAATAAATCTTTCTGTAACATACATATAATTAGCTATTACAGTTAATTTTCCTCTTTATTTACAACATTAGTAGATGAATAAATAGTAAATTTTCTCCTTTTGTAACGAATGTGAGTAACTGCTAATTTAACAGAAATTTGGAACTAGGACGGTGTTTGCATTCAGCCACCAAAATTAATAATACGCATTACTTATTAAACAATTACGATTATTAATCTTCATTATAAGAGCAATAAACATAATATTAGTTACAGTGTTTCCTTAAAAAGCAGTTACAACTTTATTATCCATGAAAGTATAACAAAAGTAATTTGTTATAGGAAATTTTATTCAAAGCGTTGGTATAAATGCATTTAGCAAAATACGCGGGAATGAATTTCGCTCCCGCGAGCGTCGAAAACTTTACCGACAGTCCCTAGAAAAATCCCAAGACGCGAGTTCTCAAAATACGTCCTCATTTAAAGAATATTAGTCTAGTCCTTATATTATCCAAATCGTCAAAAACTTATAAAATATTGAAATTGCTGTCTGTCAACGGTCAAGAAAATGGCGGATCGGACTCAGCTAGATTGATTTATTCGTAATATAAACATTTCTGCCAATAGTTTGTCCAAATAGGCACCAGACTAATATTCTTTGGGTCGGATAGAATAAAACGAGCACCCAAGGGATGACGTACAAGTCTCCAGGTAGAAGTAATTTGAAAACTACGATTTCGTTGATTGTTCACTCGCGAAAGACGTCAACAAGGTAAAACAGACCAGAAATTTAGTTTCTCGTTCATTCTGTAGGGCGCAGTTCGTTCGTTTGATTAATAAACAATTGTAAAATTAAAAATAATAATTAAATAATTTTTAATAGAATAATTAAAGAAAATTTTGCAATATACCCACGCGGAAATGTAAAGAAATAAACAATTTAAATAGATATAACAATAATTTGATTAATAAACAATTGTAAAATATAAAATAATAATTAAACAAATATTAACAAATATCAGATAGAAGTAGTTAAATGTAACCGGCCGCGGAACCGGTGAAGCGGAACGTCATGCTTGACTGGGCGCGTCGCGCGCCGGTACAACGGCGACCTGGAGGAAGGTCAAATCTAGTCAGTCTTATCGCGACCGCCGAAGGATACGGATGGAGCTGCCAAACATATACCGGTACGGGTTGACACTATGGATATTCGTGCATGGATTTATCAGTGTGTTATCACAAGTGTTTCTATGTGTGCCTATGGTGTTTCCTATAGTGTTTCCCTTGTCTTTTGGAATATTTATACGGATATATTAGTGCCTCTTATGGTGTGGTCACCCATGTGTTCTGACATTTTTATACAAGTGCATTAGTGTGCTGTGTGGTGTGGTACCCCATGTACCTGCATGTGCTTTATTGTGTTTTATGGTGTGGTTTCCTTTGTGCTTTGGCATATATTTACGGATTTATTAGTGTGTTTTATGGAGTGGTACCCTATGTGTTTTGGCATATTTATACGGATTTATTAGTGGGTTTTATGGAGTAGTACCCTTTGTGTTTTGACATATTTATACGGATTTATTAGTAGGTTTTATGGATTGGTACCCTATGTGTTTTACTATAATTTTGCAAATATTTTATAGCATTCTATGGTTTTGATCTTCGAGTGATTTGGGATGTATTTGCATGTGTTTTACCGTGTTATATGGTGTAGTTATTCCCATATAGTTTTGCATGCATATTTTTGAATTATCCTATGTATTAGCATATTAACTACAACAAATTGAGAGAAAACATATATCGTTCAAGAATCGTGATTTTTATGCTTCCAGATGAGTGCTTTGGCCAGTGGGGGTACCGTTTCTTTGACGAGCCAACAGACGAGCTATGGGTCAATCTAACAATAAGATGCGTGGAGAGTGCAGTGGTGCAAGTCAACGATCGGTGAGTCGCATGCTTTAAAGTTCCTCCGGTTCCCATCATGTCGTAGGACGAATGGTCCGTAGCGACACGGGAATTGGTTGTAATTTTTATTTTTTGAGCGAGCATAGTGACCCACGAATATCACTGTATTATTTTATACAATGATAATCGTGCAAATTGCTTTTTTGTGTATTTTATGCCTTAGCTCAGGATAGGGTTTTCTTGTACATATTTACATATATGTATAGATTTCGAGTTTAAAAATGTAGAGAAGTCGGATGACCCTCCGACTTCACATTACACTTCTTTTTTATATGTACAAGAATTTATTTCGCGATGAGCGGATTTCAATATCAAAGTAATAAGCATGATTACTATTAATTATTATAACTACTTACTTTGATAACGAAATCGCTCTTGAAATTGAAACGTTTTCCCGATTTTACTCGTGAAATTGGCATCAGTTTAGTATATGGGCTGGCCCCCAGGGGGGTTGGTATTTGCTCTTCAAGCATTGTAGAAAGTTCCCCTTTCGTACTTGAAATTCATTCTGTCACGTTTACGGTTCTCGACCTTAAACACTCATCATTCGCACTTCAGCCTCACGAACTCTATCACATAATCATTTATCCACCCGCATACCCTTGTGTAGTGAAATATTACCCCGTTAGGATTTTCAAGTTATAGTAGTGTTGCGAAAAATTTTCAACGCGAGAATAAATATTATCCCGTTCAGATTTTCATGTTTAAGTAGTGTTGCGAAAAATTTTAAACGAGAGAGTAAATATTACCCCGTTAGAATTTTCAAGTTTAAGTAGTGTTGCGAAAAATTTTCAACGCGAGGGTAAATATTACCCTGTTAGAATTTTCAAGTTTAAGTAATGTTGCGAAAAATTTCCGGCGCGAGAGTAAATATGACTATACACTGACTAGTATTCGGTGGGAATCCTTTTGGTTTTTATTTGATTAAATTAGTTACAAGGATTCCGCGGCATAAGACCGTGAACACCACCTCATGGGAGATAAAACCATGCATTACTAGGCCTTTGCAGGCACAGCCATAGAGTACGGAACATTTAAGTATGTTGCATCCCATACGCTAAGCTGTCTTAAAGTCCTTTTGCCTATACTATGGGCGTCCACCACTCGGACACGTTGGATGCAACGTATTCGATGGGTGGGTAGCGCTCTTAGCGAAGGGGTGCACCCTGCCTGGGCCTAGAGCCTTAAACAGGCGGGGTGGGTGGTATGTAGCGTCGGGCGTAAGTCCAGGGGGCCTAAGAACCTCCGTTGCCAGCTGATATTAGCAGTGGACGAATGTTTGAGTCATATTTGCTCAATTTTGCTTTTCAGTATTTGCTCTTCAAGCATAATTTAAAGCTCCCCTTTAGTCATGTTGCTAGATCAGGATTTTCTATTTTAATTAGTGTTGCGAAAAATTTCCAGCGCGAGAGTAACTATGACGATGCACTTACTAGTATTCGGTGGGAATCCTTTTGGTTTTTAAACTCAATGTTTTATTTAATTAATCAAATTAGTTACAAGGATTCCGCGGCATAAGACCGTGAACACCATCTCTGGGAGATATACCCATGCATTACTAGGCTTTTCAAGGCGCAGTTTAGAATGTGGCGCACATCCATATGTTCCATTTGATAAACTGCAGTCCTTTTGCCTATACTATGGGCGTCCGTCAATCTGACACGTTGGATGCAACGTGTTGGACGGGCGGGTAGCGCTCTTAGCGAAGGGGTGCACCCTGTTCTAGGCGGGGTGGGTGGTATGTAGCGTCGGGCGTAAGTCCAGGGGGCCCGAAAACCTCCGTTGCCAGCCGATATTAGAAGTGCACCATTTTTGCGTCATAGTTGCTCTATTTTGCTTTTCAGTATTTGCTCTTCAAGCATTGTAGAAAGCTCTTCGTTCGTACTTCAAATTCATTCTGTCACGTTCACGGTTTTCGACCCTAAACACTCATCATTCGCACTTCAGCCTCACGAACTCTATCACATAATCATTTATCCACCCGCATACCCTTGTGTAGTGAAATATTACCCCGTTAGGATTTTCAAGTTATAGTAGTGTTGCGAAAAATTTTCAACGCGAGAGTAAATATTATCCCGTTCAGATTTTCAAGTTTAAGTAGTGTTGCGAAAAATTTTAAACGAGAGAGTAAATATTACCCCGTTAGAATTTTCAAGTTTAAGTAGTGTTGCGAAAAATTTTCAACGCGAGGGTAAATATTACCCGTGTTAGAATTTTCAAGTTTAAGTAGTGTTGCGAATAATTTCCGGCGCGAAAGTAAATATGACTATACACTGACTAGTATTCGGTGGGAATCCTTTTGGTTTTTATTGATAAAATTAGTTACAAGGATTCCGCGGCATAAGACCGTGAACACCACCTCATGGGAGATAAAACCATGCATTACTAGGCCTTTGCAGGCACAGCCATAGAGTACGGAACATTTAAGTATGTTGCATCCCATACGCTAAGCTGTCTTAAAGTCCTTTTGCCTATACTATGGGCGTCCACCACTCGGACACGTTGGATGCAACGTGTTCGATGGGTGGGTAGCGCTCTTAGCGAAGGGGTGCACCCTGCCTGGGCCTAGAGCCTTAAACAGGCGGGGTGGGTGGTATGTAGCGTCGGGCGTAAGTCCAGGGGGCCTAAGAACCTCCGTTGCCAGCTGATATTCGCAGTGGACGAATGTTGAGTCATATTTGCTCAATTTTGCTTTTCAGTATTTGCTCTTCAAGCATATTTTAATTAGTGTTGCGAAAAATTTCCAGCGCGAGAGTAACTATGACGATGCACTTACTAGTATTCGGTGGGAATCCTTTTGGTTTTTAAACTCAATGTTTTATTTAATTAATCAAGTTAGTTACAAGGATTCCGCGGCATAAGACCGTGAACACCATCTCATGGGAGATAAAACCATGCATTACTAGGCCTTTCAAGGTGCAGTTTAGGATGTGGCGCCCATCCATAGGTTCCATTTAATAAACTGCAGTCCTTTTGCCTATACTATGGGCGTCCGTCAATCTGACACGTTGGATGCAACGTGTTGGACGGGCGGGTAGCGCTCTTAGCGAAGGGGTGCATCCTTTCCTAGGCGGGGTGGGTGGTATGTAGCGTCGGGCGTAAGTCCAGGGGGCCCGAAAACCTCCGTTGCCAGCCGATATTAGAAGTGCACCATTTTTGCGTCATAGTTGCTCTATTTTGCTTTTCAGTATTTGCTCTTCAAGCATTGTAGAAAGCTCTTCGTTCGTACTTCAAATTCATTCTGTCACGTTCACGGTTCTCGACCCTAAACACTCATCATTCACACTCATCATTCATCAGTATAGTGAAATTTTAGCCCGTTAGATGTTTATGTACTAGTCATGTTTTTAGATCAGGATTTTCCATTTTAATTAGTGTTGCGAAAAATTCCCACGCGAGAGTAAATATGACAATGCACTGACTAGTATTTGGTGGGAATCCTTTTGGTTCTTAAACTCAATCCAATATTTTATTTATTTAATCATATTAGTTACAAGGATTCCGCGGCATAAGACCGTGAAACACCATCTCATGGGAGATAAACCCATGCATTACTAGGCCTTTGCAGGCGCAGCTTTAGAATACGGAACATATGAAAATATGTTACCATATTCTAAACTGTAGTCCTTTTGTCTATACTATGGGCGTCCGTCAATCTGACACCGTTGGATGCAACGTGTTGGACGGGCGGGTAGCGCTCTTAGCGAAGGGGTGCATCCTGTCCTGGCGTTACGACGTCCAGGCGGGGTGGGTGGTATGTAGCGTCGGGCGCAAGTCCAGGGGGCCTAAGAACCTCCGTTGCCAACTGATATTAGCAGTGCACCATGTTATATGTCATAGTTGCTCAATTTTGCTTTTCTGTATTTGCTCTTCAAGCTTTATATTTGCAAAGTCGAGTCACTTTTATTAAAAATAAAACCCCCTGGGGGGGCCAGCCCATATACTAAATCGGAGCCGTGAAATTTCGCTGATATTCTTACTTTTAATAAAGTGAGAATATCATCTTTAGTTTTTGCTAATCATACGTTTTAGCTTAGGCATTTCAGCACACATGAAGAAAACTGGTAGGTGAAAATACCTTTGGCCTTGTTCATTTTTATGCCCAAAGCTCATTCGGGTACTTAGATGTACTCGCGTGGGTGGAGGGCGGTGGACAAGGTTTAGTTTTAAGTGTACATTTTGGCGACTGACAAAAGTAGTGAACCAATAGTGAACCACGATAGAAGTTCCACATGTGTGTGTGTGGTTAGGATGTGGGATTTGTATCGTTTATTAACAATGTTAACTTACTATAACATTACAAAATACTTATCAAGAATAAATTGAAAAATTGTTACATTAGATAATTCAATAGAATACGAAAATGAAATGTATTACTTTAGCATAATGTTCACTATTATTTGTCAGTCGATTTCAGCAAAAAGGTATGATTTTATTAGAGTGTGAATGTTGAATTGAACTCGGGTGTCGGAGGCGTCCCGGGACGTTCTCCCTAGGTGTAGGCATTTTTGCACCCGGGTGGTTGTATGAGAACCGTGGAGTGAATTTTTGTGAGAATGATTTTTGCCCTTTTTTAAATATAGCAATAGGCAGGCAGGTAGTTTACTTCTGGTGTGATTGAGTTTAGTTTATAAGTAGGCAGGGCCAGAGCAAGCTTTCATGTTTCTCTTCGTATTCTCCTCTAATACGTGAGAAGCTTGTATCTGGGGTTGGAAATTAAAAAATCGAGAGGAAAAATGAAAATGCAAATTAATTAGTTGATTAATTAATTAATTTAGCATTCTCTCTTGATTTTTTCAAGGCCAAGCCTTATTAGTTTGTAAGTCGTAGTCGTGGTACTAGACCCGATTACAAAAATGAAGTATTAAAGTGAAAGTGCAGTGAAGTGAAGTGAAGTGAAGTGAAATTAAAAAGTGTCTTGTGCTTGGACATTTGCAAAAATTGTGCAGGTATGCGAGTAGCGATTCAAGGGATTGTTGCTCGTTTACGTGTTACGTTTTTACAAATGTCTGAGCAAACGTAAAATTTTCGCGAGTGATTTTTGTGAGGCTATTGCCGAAGAAAGAAGAGGCTATATGCTGAAGAGCCCCGGCAAAATTTGCCCAGAAGAGGGGAACTACTAATGGCTCTCCATCTTCGGATGGACAGTCATTCTGTCACTATGCTCGCTAATTTGTTTTTTCATTTTTTGTGTTTTTCCTTGAACGGTATGAATAATACCGTTCAGGACATATTGAACTCGACATTTTACGAGTTCAATACCCAGCTCGTTGAATGGTCAATTCGCGATTTTATTTCCCCTATTTCGTTTTTGTTTATTGCTTTATTGAAATAAATTATTTTTTTCTTATTGATTTGCACATCAATTATATTTCATGTTCTTATTTTAATTATGTTCTATTTATTTAAAACCTACTCTGAGATTGTAATGGTAATTATATATTCTGTTTCAGCATTTTTCATTTCAGTTGTAATCGAAATTATGATGTTAATTATATTTTCTATTTCAGCATTTTATTGTTGAATTATTTTTTAATTGTTACAGAAATTATGATGTTAATTATATTTTCTATTTCAGCATTTTATTGTTAAATTGTTATTTTGTTAATTGTTACAGGAATTATGATGTTAATAATATTTTCTATTTCAGCATTTTATTATTGAATTGTTATTTTCTCAATTGTTTCTGATATTAGGATGTTAATTTTATTTTTTATTTCAGGATTGTATTGTTTAAATTTTTATTTTATGTTGGATGTTTTGAATGGTTTCACGTTATTGTATATCTAATCCTAATAATAATGTTTTCCGTTACAGCAATTTATTGTTAAATTATTATTATTTTCTCAATTGTTTCTGATATTAGGATGTTAATTTTATTTTCTATTTCAGGATTGTATTGTTTAAATTTTTATTTTATGTTGGATGTTTTGAATGGTTTCACGTTATTGTATATCTAATCCTAATAATTATGTTTTCCGTTACAGCAATTTATTGTTAAATTATTATTATTTTCTCAATTGTTTCTGATATTAGGATGTTAATTTTATTTTCTATTTCAAGATTGTATTGCTTAAATTTTTATTTTGTTGTCTGTTTTGAATGGTTTCACGTTCTTATGATTTTAGGGTGGGTCACTAACGTAGCCACCTCCACGTGGTGTGACCTGGTAATTGATATCGTTTTCTAAAGATAACTTTTAGAAAGCGATATCAAGCTAAGAGCTACTATAAAAAGATTTATATATTTTTTAATTGGGAAACAATAGTTTAAATTCAGAAAAGTATTTTCGGGATTGCAATATTACCATATAGAACGTATAACTATAGTAATTTTATAGTTCCTGAAAAAGGAACTTGTATGATTTTTGACTAATTACAAATGACTAATTCCCTCCTTCTTTTCGAAGTCGGTTAAAAATAAAATAAAAAGAAAATCACAAAATATGGAATTTAGAAAGAACGAAGTTGTTTGATACGCAGTGGTAGAAAGAAATCAACCCTGGCGAAGATATTTCAAGCAGGTCGTTGTAAGTTGGAAAGGCCATGACTTTATCCATGACTCTGGTCAGGCACTAGATCTCGCTCTTGTCTACAGAACACATAATTTCTGCTTTTCATTTGATAGAAATTCGCCACGTTGACTAACAAATATTTTTCTTATAACAATTTTCGAGAGGAATTCATTATTGAATGAAAGTAAAAATTTGCATAAATGGAGGGTGGATGGGATGAGGTAGGGCGGGACTCCAAACCGCAGCAACCTCCTCGTGGTGAGACCTGGGCAATCGTTATTATTTGATGACTAATTAATAACTGTATCATTATTTCTATGGTACATTTATTAATTATGCAGCAAATGATACGAGCGAAATGGCTGCGAAATTTATGCTTTTTTTTTTATTTAATCTCTGTTATATATTTTTCAGAAACTATACCTTTCAGATTCTGAAGTGTATCACATTGCAACTACAATTTTACGGAAAGAAAATTAATAATAATGAATGCATGGTCAGTATTGTTTAATTATGTACTTATACATATAGCTATCGTAGCATACACGTGTCATTTAGGTGTATGCGAAAGGTAACGTAGCATAGTATGCCGTTAGTTGATAGCATGCGATAATTGAGGTGGCGCTTAAATCAGTTTCTGTTCGGCCTAATTTTCGATGAAACGTTGACTGTTTTACCGACGCGGAATTCGAAGTTTGGCTTCCATGCTAGCATCGCCTTAATTGAAATGTATCGAGGAAGGTGTGAAACAAGAGGATCATGCAAGCTTTCTTAAAGACAGGAAAATTAGGTACCGAAGCGCCTAAAAAGCCTTCGACTTCACGAACAAAAGAGAAACGTAGTGGGCCTCCACCACCATGGGTAGAGAAATAGTAAGAATTCACTGATGTAACCTTAATCATAATAGATTTAGAATCTTTGTTATACATATATTAAGCTCTGTTTTATTTGCATAGCCGACCAAAAACTGTGGAGGATGTTGTTGAACAAGGAGAAGTAGTGGAAGTATTGCGTCAATGCTTAAGTGGTAGTGACTTCCCAAATTTATTATTCTATGGTCCACCTGGAACTGGCAAAACAAGTACTATATTAGCAGCAGCTAGGCAATTGTTTGGTAGTCTTTACAAAGAAAGAATATTAGAATTAAATGCTTCTGATGAAAGAGGTATCCAGGTTGTGAGAGATAAGATTAAGTCTTTTGCACAGCTTACAGCTGGTGGCATGAGGGATGAGTAAGTTCACTTGTTTCCATAAAAATGTTAAAATATTTTTCATTATTAAATGCCAATGATGTGTATAGTAAAAGGTCTGAGAGTTACATTGAAGTAATGCACATATGGATTGTTGAAGGAATGTAGTTGTTATCAGGAGTTATAATCAAGTATTTTAATAACTCTTATTACCAACTAAAAAGCAAGATGCTATGTGTAGGCTATCAAAGGTATCATGAAGTTTTAAACTTTTGAGCCTGTATTAGAAGCAGACAAATTTAATGAGGTTTCTTCAAATATCTTATGTGCTACTTCTGTAATTTCAGTGATAATAACTTAAATCTGAGGCATATTATATGCAATGTTTGTATAATGTTCAGACAATTTCTGTCTCATAATAGTAATGTTTTATTTCAGTGGAAAACGTTGCCCTCCTTTCAAAATTATTATCTTGGATGAAGCGGACAGTATGACTGCTGCCGCACAAGCAGCGCTTCGTCGTACTATGGAAAAGGAGTCCCACAGTACCCGTTTCTGTTTAATTTGTAATTATGTATCAAGAATTATACAACCACTCACTTCGCGTTGTACGAAATTCAGATTCAAACCACTGGGGGAGGAAAAGATTGTTGAGAGATTAGAGTATATATGCAAAGAAGAAGGTTTAAAAACAGACAAACCTGTTTTATTAAAAATTGTTGAAGCCTCAGGTGGAGATTTGAGACGTGCTATCACTTGTCTACAGTCTATTACAAAATTGAAGGGCAAAGATATTGAGATTACTGTTGATGATATTGTTGAAATTATTGGGGTAATACATAATTTTTTGCTAATAGTATTTGCGAAGAGTAACAATTCATGTTATCATAAAATGAGATGATTACAGATTGTCCCTGACAAGTGGATTGATGAATTGTTGGAAGTATGTAAAACAAAAGATTATAGTAAGGCTGAGGCATTTATTGATGAATTTATGTTAGAAGCATATGCTGCATCTCAAGTAAGGCCTTTTGCTATAAGTAATTTTTTCTTAAAATAATGCAGTATTCTGAATTCTAATAATTTTTATAGGTGATTGAACAGCTTAGCGATAGGATCATATATTCCAATGAGTTTACAGATAAACAGAAAGCTTTAATTGCAGATAGACTAGGGGTAAGTACTTGAAGTTATTTCCCATGTGAATAAAAGCATATAGTATTCATTTTCTATTATTTTAGGAATGTAATTACAGACTGCTAGATGGTGGAAGTGAATACATACAGCTTATAAATCTTTGTTGCGGTATTATAAAAGCATATGAATTAGAATAGAGTGTATCAGAGACATGATCTTTTCAAACATTTTTCTATGCCAATAAATATTTATTATATTTTTATATTCTAACTATGATATATCTATTTTCCAAAATAAAATATTGAAATTACAAATTTCATGTTCCCTGTACGCATCTAGTACTCCTAGTATTTATTTCTCATTTTCTACTAGCTAGGAAATTTTTGTTTTTACACTAAATGTTCACAAGGTACGATATTTTATTCCTCTAGCTATTTTTTAGCAGGTATATACATGTTCTAAAAGAATACCCCTTGTTGAAATGATATCAACGGCAATACGACTAATAAATCAATGAAGATAATGAAACGTAATATGTTCTAGGGGAGAGACGATTTCCGTCTTATAAACGCAGCTTTACTGCGCTCTCTGTCGGTGAATTGATGGCGACGACGCCATGGTTTGAGAGCCACTGCGTTCGGCGTGTAGGGGCGTCGTTGCTGCGTGCAATGTGTATCGTGTAGGCGTTGGCGAGGAGGAGACAAGTCGGGGATGTGTCCGTAAAAAAACTTGCGGTTTCTGCGTACTCTGCCGCACGTGCACGCTCGAAATCGTGTTCCGCGAACCAGGGATAGCCGACGAAATTTTATTATGAGCCCGTATCGGCCGGGACTGTCGCGCGAACGGGCCTAACAATTACGGCCAGGAAAAAAAAGTGCAGCCAGTGCTCCGTATTCTTTCGTTTCTTACAAAGAGCCACGTATCGCGCGTGTATACCTCTGTTTCTTGTCTCTTGAAACGAAGAAAAACGAATTCAAAAAGGAAATCGTCGATCCGACCGGAGGAGAACGAACGACCAAGTACAGAAACGACGCTCGTATTAGGATGCCAGGACGTCTTCGAAGGGCCATTGAGACGACCAGTGTTACTCGCGCGAGTTAATTTCAATTCTATCCGTGAGAGACGAGATTCGTACAAAGAAAGAAACAGGGCGAGACGGTGGAAAGAAACCCGAGCGGAGAGCGTGTGTACAGGAGATGTTCGAAATCTCGAAAAGAGATCCTGGTGCGGGAGGATTCGACTATCAGCGGCTACGATCGAACGTATTATCGCACGCTGGATTCTTCGGCGTGTGAGACGGCAATCACCGGTCGTAAGGATTTCTTCGTGTGAACGCGGCTGACTGTGTGCGTGTTTTTCCCGGCGAGGAAATCTCGACTCTGCGGCGGCGGCGGCGGTGTCTGCTGGCATGAGATTATATTGTCGCTCAGTCGGCACGCTTTCGTGGAACTATCAACGCCGAATACACACCACGCAATTCGTACGATTTTTTGAGCGTAGCATTTTTCCTTCTCTCTCGAAGGAAATTGACTGACTGGCGAGAAGAGAATACGTTCCAAAAAAGTTTTTCCGAGTGGTATTCGTATTCTTCCGTTCGCGTTCGATGCTCAACGATAGTATTATTACACGAGTGACAGTACGATTCGTACCGACGTAAGAGAATCCCGATTCGCGTGCGTGAACGAATTGTGCAGCAGGAACGTGGTGTGGTGGACAAGGAGGGTGGATGACGAATTCGTGTATTCGTCTCCGGTATTAAGTCGTGCGTCAAAGCTTCTTGGAATGTGACGGGTGACTCCCAGCGTGGGAAATATCGTAGAAAAGGTAAGCGTTTTGAACATGGCAACGAGTCGATCCGTTTCTCTGAATCGACTCCGTAACGCGATACGAACTGTCACTGGAACAGTGTTTAACGGTACTCGATTCTAACCTGCAAACACGATCGCGTAGAAATAGCATTTGGGATTAAATCGAGGAGTCTGAAGGTAAGAATACATTGGGGATGCTAGCCAATACAGAGAAGGCATTCTACGCATCCATAAGGGTGTCTCAACCACTATACGTCCATGAAATTTATAGGATGTATGATTGTAAACAAAGGAACGATAATTAATATCAAACAAAATCATCGGCATTTGAACAAAGTCGTATATCATTTTTTATCGTTCTCGTTTGTTAACTATGACGCTTTGAAATGGAGAAATATTGCACCACTTGAAATCGATTTGATGCGCGATAATCGCGCGTCGATAATCGATTCTGAATCAGGATAACGTTGGGGTTGATTCGACTCTCGTTTTAATATTGATATCCTGTCGATCAAGAGACAAATTTGATGCGATTTTAACCGGTTCAACGCGACTGGCATTAAGAAGCCGTGCAGAAATGAAACTCTCGGTTGTCAACGACACCGGTATCATTGTTCGGTCGAACGATCGGCTTTTGAAAAAAAAAAAATCTTCGGCCGCGGCAGTAGTCGACTGTACGATTGTACAGGCACTTGTTACTCCGTACAATGCTTTTTCTCGAGAGTAGGCGCGGGCTTTGTTTTTGTTTTGAAGCGTACACGACACCCGATGCCGCGCGTCCTCCGCACGCTTGCCAACGTAATTCAAAGTGGTAGCATTCAGTGACCTGACTTATGCCCCTCTTTGAGGACGCATAGCCGGGTTAACGTACACCGATACGTTTTGATCTTTCTATGAAAAGATGAACCAAATGTGTACATCCTATGCAATTGTGCCAGAGTAAAGAGCTCCATAAAGGTTAGAAACAGAATGAAAGAAAAATCTAACCTATGATTCAATGGTTGCGAACTATAGTTAGGTTAGGTTAGGTTAACTTGTACTCTTTCACAATAACGCTCTGTATATATATATTTAATGCAATAACAAAGGCAGTATTTTATTCACAAGATGATAAGGTGTTAAACTACTTGAAAAGGAGTCGTTATTGTGAAAGATACCTTTTGAAAGGTAACGTGAGAACGCGATATAGCCCGTTGCCCAAGCAAAGGAATTAATTTTTTATGGAAAATAGGATCACACGGCGAGACGCGCGGCAATTAACGATGGAAAGGGTTTCCCGTCCGTTTCTGCTACTATGATTACGTTTCCAACGAAATTCAAATCGAGAAGGTACTACGTAACCGAGTGTAATCGAATTATTTCGAAAAATCGTTCGCAATCGATACGTAGGAAAATCGTATCGATCCGCTATTTGAATAACTGGCGCGAACGCTATGAATTATTAAATCAGCCAAGAAAGGCTCTTTTTCCAAAGAAAGGTAATCGAATACGTGAATTTTAGATGCAATTTAATAGCCGAAAGAGTGGAACAGCTAGGAGAACGTAGATAGGGAGGAAAGCATCGTATATTCAAGGATTAGTATACGGGGACCGAAACTACTTGTAGTAAAATAACTTATAACGAGGGTTTATAAAACGAGCTTGTTCCCCACGTTGGAGGGTGTGCGCTCCCGGGACGCATCTTCGACTACCACTTGGCACTCTGTTTATTATTACTATCTAGATTAACGTGGCCGCACGTACGCACAGTGGAGTCATTAACAACCGGCCAGCCAAATCAATAAACTCAGATGTTCATAATTAGACAGCTTAAGTGGTGGATTGAAAAACTATAGACATCTTTTTAATTCTTTTTACATCATTTAAATTTTCTTTTTTTTTTTTTGTACAATAATTGCCGTTTCCCGAACCTGTTCCTAACGTGGACTGTTATTTGTAATTAGAAAACCGTGACCACCCTGTTGGTATCCGGTTAGATGAGGGTAAAGTTACACCGTTCTGGTATAACAGACAAAGATAACAGTCGACAGGTACACGCAATTACTCGAACGAAATTAATAAACGGCTTTCGCTGTTTTGTCGAAGGAAGGTAATTTGTTCCGAGCAAGCTAGTTTCTTGAAAGGGAGCGTGTGGTCTAGCCGGAGGTTTGCGCCGCTCTTGGATTCACTGGTCACGGTAGCAAAACAGGATAATCTTTCAACAACTATCCGCGACCAGATAGACCACAAACTTGGCTGCTTGGAACCGTCGGATAACCATGAAACACGGTATTCGATCGAGCTTGTTTCTATTTCCCCAAATAACCAAGCAACAAGTTGTCCGGACGTCCATTAACGAAATTCTCTTCAGTAAAAGGTATCTAGGATAGAAATGAAAAACCTTGCTGTATTAACGGACAGACAATAGGAAATGAATCGCACGACGGAGGCCAGTGTTTTATATTAAACGAAAGAGGAAAAGGGAAGAAAGGACAAAGTTTCATTGAATCAGGTATATTTAATTCTCGATCGAACGGTCCACGGCTGTGACAATGCTTTGGTCCCGACACTCGCGTGTCCCCTCTTTGACCGATGAATAGATTTGCCGTGGCAGATGTAACCATTGAACGTTTAGAGCGACCGAAACGGTGACCGAGCGTGGATTGTTCGACACGGAAATAACGTTGTCCGTGTCCTAGTCTCGATTCTATGGGCGAATAATCGAAGGCCAGTTATTAAATCGATCACTCGTCGAACTCTTGGCGACGAGATAACGTATCGGTTACGCTTTTCACTAACGAAGAATCGTTTGGTCGCTGATCAGCACCGCGGCGAGGAGTTTTATCGTCGCAATCTATATCCCGGCCAGTGCTCTAGCACGTACGAATGGCTCGTCGAAGCTTCGAATTGTCTGAAATTTTCTTGTACAAACGTTCTTCACCTGTGCAACGATTCCGAGGGTTTTAAGTTCGATCGGAAGGGCCGCGAAATCGATACAGGAAGCGGGCTGGGTAAGGGAATCGTAGCGACAGGTAATCCTCCGGCAATTCATAACAAAAAGGACACGCCCGGCGAGAAGATAAAGTTAGCCGTACAGTAACGACGTTCGTTCAGTGCCTACAGTTTTACCCAGGTTTATCTCTTTTATCTCTCCCGGGAACGTTTCGTTCCCGTATTCGAAACGTTTAATATCACCGAGCGTCGTACACTCCTCTTCCTACACCTCCCTCGAGCGAATCGATCAGCTCTACGAACCTTATCTCGCTCGAGAATTACTCGAAACGAGAAAAAATATATTCGATCAGCTTTGTGGCTAATGTTATTGATAAACGACGGATAATTGGTAATACTCTTATCAATTCCTCGATTGATCGTAATGGAAGGCTCGAATGACGTGGACACCTTTCTAGTATTTTCAGAAGTCTGACTCATGGACAATTCTCTGATAAAGATTCGGTATTTCTTAACATCCACTTAAGGTATTTTTAATGGAACGTTAGGATCGTAGAAATTTCTCAAATATCTATCGTTTTACGTGTTTCCACCGAAAGTACGATCGACTCGTTATTACCTGATTAAATCTCGATCAAACGTGGCGCGGTAGACGCGTACGGCCGGTGTTTGCCCGCTTGTAATGAGCGAGTGTATAATTTACGAAAAGACCAGGACGGTAGAGGTACGTTGGCCTGGCCATTCAGCTGGAATAAAAACCGTCAGTGGTCCCGCGGGACAGGGAGAGTAGGAAACGAATTCCATAAATTCTTTAAGAGGCCCGTTCGAAAGAATGGGACACGATTACCCGGCATCTTCTGTTCGCTCTTGGACAACGAGCCCCGTTATTGTTTCAATTCTCTGCGTGTCAATTTTTCGCGTTCCTTTCATTCTGTCATGGAGTCAACAAATCTGAGAACCCTTAGAGTACGCGACCGAGGCTGAGGGTAATTTCTATGATTCTCAGACAGTATATAAATACATACGCAATTAGCATAAATCCTTTGATTTGACAAGAGTATCGCGTTTACGGTGGAAGATGCACGGTGTGTTCAGAAGTTTGATTCTGATGCGCGCAGATGCAGAGGGAAGTCGCGTGTCATGGCACGGGCCATGATTTCGAATGCACGAAACGAAGAAGAAGAAGAGGAGGAGGTGGAGGAGGAGGTTGGAAACTTAAATTAGCCGTCTCGAGGCAGCGTAACGCACCGGGCTAATTAGACGCTTCGGATTTACCACGACGACGGACTCCACGAGTGGTTGAACTACTTTTCGGAGAGGTCGAAAAAAACTGGCCGAGTTCCGTTCGGGTTTCTAGTTTTTCACACGAGATCGTTTAACGCATCTTTTCGACCCTGGCTACGTTTAAATTGCTCTTGATGTTTCCTTTGAAAATGTTAACTAATAAAACTAGAGAAGAGACGAACAGTTTTCCGAGTTAAATAAGCATAGCGCCCGGTGTTTCTTGTTCAAACAAATTTCAATTTTCATTTGTTTTTTCCCGTATTATTGCGCCGCTTCTGCACCGATGTAGATTCACCGCGTTCGAGGAGAAAAAAAAACGAGACTAACCCGGCGAACCCAGTAATTTTCACATTTTAATCAAACCCGATAATTCGATTCGCATCGGGAAACGAAGATTCGTTGAGGCCAATTGAACACGTACGCGAACGCAAGGAAAAAGGGTTAATAAACCGTGCACTAAAAGGGTTGGAAAAACATCGGTGGAGAAATCAGTGCACACCGCTCGTTCTCCTTTTTTTTCGTCCAATTTCAAATGAACTTCTCTTAAAAAACACACGCACCGAGTTCCCCGACGGCTGTTACCGGTGAAATATTTATTGCCGCGGGTATCGTAAACTTTTCCTACCCCTTTCTTCCGTTTCCTCGCTCGCGGGTAATCCGGACGCGGAAATAACGACGCTCGAACTGGGGATAATGCAATAAAAAGCGGCGTTTCATAAATTATCGAACGGCTCTCTGGCCGAGAAATTAGCGATTCTCGTGGTTTGCTTTGGACACCGGATAAATTTTGTATTCATCGAA